CACTCAGATCACGAGCCGGATAATCCTGACCAACGTTCTCTCTTGAAAATAACATGAAAAACAGAGAACACACACTCTCGCATACACACACACCTGCACAGGCATTCTGGCAGGGAATGGAACACACACGCACATGCACACACATGCACATATGCACACATGCACATGAGCACCCACACGCATACATGTGCACACACACACCCAGGCATTCTAGCAGGGAATGACAAGGCCAAGATCCAGAGGAAGAAGGAAACCCAGAGAAGTGAACCTAGTGTCTTGAGCCGCTTTTCCTGGTGGTAGTGACTAATTTAGGGAAAGGCACCTGAGAGCAAGCTGACGCGCTTTCCTGGCTCACAGGGACGCAGAGACGGATACAGGAGATCAGGGTGTGCCAAGCAAGGGCCCCTGATAAAAGCCCTGGGCTGCAGGTCGGATCCCCCCAGGGAGCACATCCTAGCAGGGAATGAGCCAGAAACAGATCAGACCTCTAAGGCCACTGGAGCACAGCTGTGGGCATCTCCATCCCTGGCTGGGCTAAGGCCCTGGCCTGCCAGAAGCAGCCAGAAGTCCACTCTGAAGGAATGGAACATCATCCAGCCTCAAACCACTCCAAGTTCTCACGCACCATGTTCAGAACACAAGGGACGCACAGGAGAGGCCGCCGGACACTGGGTACGCCCACGGGAAGCAACAGGAGCTGCACTACACCACGCACTACCTCTGAGCCACAACCCCAGCCCCCATGGTTTGGTTTTATTTTACTACTTATTTGTTTTGTGACAAGATCTCACTGTGTTGCCCAGGCTGGTCTTAACTCCTACGCTCAAATGATCCTGCGGCCTCCATGTCCTGAGCAGCTGGGACCACAGCCACACACCGCTGTGGTTTGGTTTCATGTGAGATGTGGAAGTTTATTTAGGGAAGCAGAGGCTCTTCAAGGGAGAATGTGGGCTATCTTGAGATGAGACACTTGGGAGGTAAAGCAAAGAACCACAATTCAAGGGAGAAAGCGGACCATCTGCAGAGGAAGAGACTGCCATGGTTTGCCAAGGAGAGAGGGTTGGGGTGTGGCTTAGAGGCTGAGCACTTACCTAGTATGCCTGGGCCCTGGGGTGGATTCCCAGCACTGAGGTGTGTGAGGAGAATGTTCTTCTCTCTTAAAAGAAAGTAAGTAACTATTTGTAGAAGTTAATACATGTTTCCATTTGCTTTAAATAATCCAGTGGAGGCCAGGTGTAGTGGTACACACCTGTAGTCTCAGCGGCTCAGGAGGCTGAGGAGGAGGATCTCTAGTTCAAAGCCAGCCTCAGCAGTTTAGTGAGGCCCTAAGCAACTTAGAGAAACCCTGTCTCAAAAAATAGGAATTGCTGGGGATGTGGCTCAGTAGTTAAGCAACCCCTGGGTTCCATCTCCAGTACTACTATTACTACTACTAGTACTACTACTATACTACTACTCTACTACTACTACTACTACTAATAATAATAATAATAATAATAATAATAATAATGATCTAGTGGATGAGAGAGAAATGAGAGGGCCTCTAAGTGAAACCAAATATGTTCAAGTTAATAACTGATAAAAATGAGTGACGGACACATGGGGATTTGTTTTACTCCTCTCTCTCTCTTTTTAAGTATACTTATAATTTTTATAATAAAACCACAAATATATGAAGAGAGGGCTGGGGTTGTGGCTCAGTGGTAGAGCACTTGCCCAGCGTGTGTGAGGCCCTGGGTTTGATCCTCAGCACTACATAAAAATTTTTAAAAAATAAATAAATAACACATTGTGTCCATCTACAACTACAAAAAAAAAAAATTTTTTTTAATTATGAAGAGAAACTACAGGCATATGAGGACAAAAGACAATCTGGGTGAAAACCAAGATGAAAAAAAAATGGAAAATAAAGATCCATAGAGGATACAAATAATGGAGTCATTAAGCATGGATTTAAAAATAAGTATGCACAATATCCAAAAAAATAAATAAATAAAACACAAGATGGGGAATTTAACAGAAAACTAAAAACTGTCAAAACGAAGCAGAAATTCTTCTAAAACTAAAAATACAGTTGCTCTCCGATGATCACAGAATACAGAAGCAGCTTGATGACTCTCTGCCAAATCGGATGTGGGCCCCGGCACCCAGTGGCACAGTCAGGGTTGGGCAAATGTCGGAGCAGAGAGTCAGGTTCTCCCTGGAATTCCACCAAACCGTAGCTCAAGAGGCTGCGGCCCTCGGAGCCCTCAGACCTGGATAGACTCCCGGTGGGTGGCCTTCGGTGTCACGCCTCACTTGCGGCCCGCCCGAGTCCCGGACATGAGGGGAGCTTCCCTAAAAGCTGGAGGCCTAAGTGTCTTGGCTTCCATCTGATGGTTTGGGTGGGGACGCCTGTCCTGTGTGGGAGCTGAGGACGGTCAACACTGAGGACCTTGGAGGATACAGAGAAAAGAACTCGGGGAACAGAAAAGGCGTTAGTGAAACCAGAAAACCCACACAGAAGAGTGAAGAACCATTACCTCCCCACTAGTCGCACCGCCAATCTGCTCACCAGAACAGGGAGGTAAAGAGGAGGGTGTTATCGAAAAGAAAGTCAAGAGCCAAGATTAAAATCAAAGTGGGAGGAGGAGGAGGAGGAGGAGGAGGAGAGATGTTCCTAGTAAGAGGAGACCTCTATGAAGAAGTAAAAGGATAAGAAGAAACATGTGGGCAGGCGTGGTGGTGCATACCTGTAATCCCAGCAGCTCAGGAGGCTAAGGCAGGAGGATGGAAAGTTGGAGGCCCCCCGGGGCAATTCAGCAAGACCCTGTCTCAAAAATAAAAAATAAAAATAAGAAGGGCTGGGGATGTAGCTCAGTGGTAGAGTGCCCCTGAGTTCAATCCCCAGTGCTGAGAAGAAAAGAAATACATAAAAGAAGCGCCACTTTCTGAAGAAGAGTCACGCGTCTGCATAGCACTTCCCAGTCCAGAGGAAAGGGCCAGAGAACAAGGACCAACGGAAGGGACCGTGGTGAATCACCAGGACGCTTCATGGTTAAGATTCAGCCAGGAGCCAGGCGCGTTGGCCTGTAATCCCAGGGGCTGCAGAGGCCATGACAGAGAGCTTAAACAAGTACTTCTTCCTCACGGTTCTGAAGGTTGGAGAATCCAAGATCAAATCACCAGTAGACTCCAGGGTGAGGACCCGCTTCTTGGCTCTCTAATGGTAGAAAATGGTAGAAAGGGGAAAAGCTCCCGGTTCTTTGGAGTCTCTTTTTTTTTTTTTTTTTTGACACTAGGGGCACTTTACTATGTACCCCAGGCCTTTTAAAATTTTATTTAGAGACAGGGTCTCAGTAGATTGCTTTGAGCCTAAGTTGCGGAGGCTGGCTTTGAACTTGTGATCCTCCCGCTTCAGCCTCTTGGGCCCCTGCGATTACAGGCATGCACCACCATACCCAGCAAAGGTCAGGATTTCAATATAGGAATTTTCAGTAGGCACAAACATTCTGTTGACAGCAGTTATAGATAGTGGTGATGGTTGCACAACATTGTGAATGTATCTAATATCACTGAATTATACACAAAAACATGGTTAAAAACACATATTTTATGTCATGTTAAAAATTATATGGCCGGGGGTGTTACTCAGTGGTAAAGCATTTGCCTAACATAGACTGTTGAACCACAAAGAAACATTCTGAACCACAAACACCAGAAGACTGACAAGGGATTTTTGACTTTCAAAGAACCTTTTCTGAGAACCTGCACATTTCTCTGCAGGAAAATCATATAAAGGGCTCGGATGCAGATCAGTGGTAGAGCGCTTGCCCAGCATGTCAAGGCCCTGGGTTCCGTCCTTAGTAATCCGCACCCCTCCCCCGCAATCACGTACAAAGTCAGAAAGCTCAATCCTGTGTCACTTCTCTTCAAGATGCCAGAGGAGAGGGACGCCCACAACCTGCCTTTGTGGCATGTACACCTTTGATGGCCTTTAATTAATCTTTACTTGTGCCTTGTCTTTGACACATCCTGGAATTCTTTTCAGCAGCCATAGAAACCTGGGCCAAATTGAGGTTCCATTGCCCCTTGGAAGAACCTCGTTGAACCCCTGTCTAATGACTCTCTACCCCACCCCCCAGGACCAGAAGCCCCAGTCTTTAAGATCTCTAATCAGATAATGCTTGGACCAACATACTTTAGACAAGAAGGGGCCTTGAAACTTCATGCCCTCCATCCTCCTGCTGACTCACAAGAGAAGATCATGGTCCAAGGAGACCACACTTGCTGCCCAACATCCTGCTGTGACTTACTTGCCATTTTTCCTTCTGTAGAGAGAAATATGAGGGGCTGTTAGATCCAGTGCAAGTGACCCCAGGTCCACTGGCTACTGTGCCTCCAGGGACGAGGGTCCTGGAGTAACCTGCTGCTGGTGAGGGGCGGACTGCGGCCGCACTGCAGCACCTCTGGTAGCACAGGGCCATGCTCTGCTGACATCACAAGCAGAATGCAGGGGCTGGCTGCACTTTAATTGTGACATCGGGGAGCAAAGCTGGGGCAGTCCTTAAGGAGGAAAGCCACCTTGACAGGGAGACTACAGACCAGCAGCCAAAGGCAAAGGTAAGAGCGTGGTCACTAGGCCCCAAGAGCAGCGAGGCCCGTGGGTCTGTAGGACGGAAGAGGCTGCACACCCGAGGGACTTGCAGGAAGCAGGGGCAGAGGCCCAGAGGATCCATCCCTAAAACCCTCTGGACAATGAGTCTGGAAATTCTTTGAACTTTATACCCAGTGAGAGGAGTGGCTTGAAGGTTGACATGAAAAGTGCTTTTTGTTCCCCTTTTTTAGACTATACAGAGGTTTTACAAGTTTTTTTTTTTTTTTCTGCAAACCCGGCATTTACAAAGAGAGGAAGCTACAAATCACAATGCCCTCTGCAGAAGTTTTTGGCTGGTATCCTGTATAAAAATCTTTCTGACAAGAAGAGAGGCTTACTTAGGGCAAGGGTCTTTTGGGTGAGGGTACCTGTTCTGCTTCAGGGTGGGGGACCTGGTGAATGGGGATGGAGCGAGGCGCCCACGCCGAGTGCCCAAGGTCCTTCCCTTCTCAACACAGGGCAGCAACGGATATGGCTCTCCCTGACATGCAGCAAGTTTCACGTGAGTCCTTGTGCCTCTCACCTCCTCCGAGCACCAAGGCAGTGGGTGAAACACCTTCCTACCGCCCCTCTGCCCTCTTGCCCACAGTTGGGACTGGGACAAGAACACAGTCCCCAGTGTATGCCTCCCATTGGTTTAGTGACACAGTCCAGTTGCCCCACGGCAAACAGCTGCTGCCAAGAGGAGCACAGTTGTACCCCTGAAGCATGACTCCAGTGAGGCTTTGCTCTGTCTCCCCAGGGCCAGCCCAGGACCAAGTCCCAGCCCCACAGCTCCCCGCCTTGCCCTCAAGACCTTCCCAAGGCCAGCTCCTGCTGAATAACACCTCCGCTCTCCGCACATTCGAGGACCAAGTCCTGTGTCCCATTTGCTTGGAGGTGTTCCATAATCCGGTCACCACCGCCTGTGGCCACAACTTCTGCATGACCTGTCTCCAAAGTTTCTGGGACCACCAGGCTGCCACGGGGGAGACCCACTATTGCCCCCAGTGCAGAGAGAGCTTCCCCTCCAGGCCCCGGCTCTGCAAGAACGTCATCCTAGGGGAGATGGTGGCCTGCTTCACCCAGGGTAAGAACCAGGCCACGGGGCCCTTGTGGAACACAGCTGGGCCCAGGGACGTGCCCTGTGACTTCTGCTCCCCCCAGAAGCTCCGGTCTGTCAAATCGTGCCTGCACTGTGTGGCCTCTCTGTGTGAGAAGCACCTGCGCAGCCACTTTGAGGACCAGATGTTCCAGAGCCACCAGCTGCTGGAGCCTGTGCAGGATCTCAAGACCCGCTTGTGTCGCAAGCACCGCAAGCTCCGGCAGCTGTACTGTCGCACGGAAGGCTGCTGCGTGTGTGGCGCCTGCCTACTAGAGGAACACAAGAACCACGAAACGGCCCCACTGGAGGAGGAGCGAGCCCGCAAGGAGGTGAGGTGGCAGGAGCAGGGAGTGGGGGGCTTTCAGCTCACATCCTAAGAGGAAAATTATGCAGCTAAGGCTGAAGGTGGTGGCGTGGGCCTGCAGTCTCAGCTATTCGGGAGCTGAGGCAAGAGGATCACAAGTTCCAGAGCCTGGGCAACAGAGCAAGACCGTGTCTCAAAAACAAAAAGAAAAACAAACAAAAAATCCCGAAGTTGATGAAGCAATAGTCAGCAGGATTGTGTCATGACATGAAAAGGCTGTTGAGGGGGCTGGGGTCAGAGCTCAGTGGCAGAGCACTTGCCTAGCACATGCCAGGGCCTGGGTTCTATTCTCAGCACTGCATATGAATAAAATAAAGGTCCATTGACAACTTAAAAAAAGGCACTGTTAAGTTAATAGGATGCAGAATTGTTTTGGGGAGGGACCCAAGAACTTTTCAGTCTATTTCAACATTATCAAAGTACAAATAAAGCCAGGCGTGGTAACACATGCCTATAATCCCAGCAATTTGGGAGGCAGAGACAGGAGGATTACAAGTTTAAGGCCAGCTTCAGCCACTTAGCAAGACCCTGTCTCAAGTTTAAAAAGTCAAAGCACTGAAGGTGTAGCTCAGTGGTAGAGAGCCCCTAGCTTCCGTTACTATTACAATAAAAAAATACAAGAGTACAAACACTTTTCCCTACTTTTGAATTTTATTGAATATAGTTGGATGAGTTTTTAAGAGAAATCCTTATATTTTAGATACCCTGACTTGTATATTATACAACAGTGCTATTCCCACAGAGCCACTGCTCAACCAGACAAGACACTCGTGACAGGATGTAAACCGATGCATCACTAAATTCACCACTTAGTTTGAGGAACACTTTTTTCCCATTGCCAGACTGTCTCAAAGAAGGAAGCACTATGTCAATTAAAAAAAAAATTGTAGTTATAGATGGACACAGTGCCTTTATTTTACTTGTCTATTTTTATGTGGTGCTGAGGATTGAACCCAGGGCCTCACAACCAGGCAGGGGCTCTGCCACTCAGCTACAGCCCCAGCCACCACATCAGTTTACAGTCTGACCAGCAACCGTCTGTGGACAGACACTTGCCAAAGCACTGTTCTGTTCTGTAATCTAACAATGCAAATGCCAGTTGCTGGAAGAGGTGGAAATGATAGGCTCATGTAGAAGGACTTGGGCCTGGAGTATGGCTCTGGGGAATGCAGGTGGCTGTGTGACCGCTATCCCTCACCAGGCCCCAGTGAAACCTTCACAGCCCCTTCCTGTGGCCTGAAACCATGGTCATCACTGCTAGGAGCAGTGACCCTCATTCCTATGAATGGCACAGGCTCTCAGTAGGTGCCAGGAGCAGAGGGGTAGTGGGCCAGGCGCCGTCCACCCTTTGGCTCTGGTCTTTTTCATTCCCCTTGAGGCCAGCAGATGAATGCAAGAGGTACGTCTGTCTCTTCTGGGCTTGGACAGGGGATGCTTGGAGCAGGGCTTCTCCAAGGCCCCTTCTCTGAATCGGGGCCCCTCCTTCTCCCCCTACCCCAGATGGAGGTTCGGAAAGTCCAGGCCAACGTGGAGAATGAGATGCTAATCATTGCCTCCGACAGCCAGAAGCACCAGGGGCGAGTGACCTTTCTCTCGGTAAGGTGGAGCTGTCCCCACCCCAGGCCCAGGCTGCCCCAGCACCCTGCATCAGGCTGAGGGCCCTCTTGGGACCTGAAAAGGGGGGTCTAGGTATAGGATGGTGGGGTAGGAAGAACAGGTGGACAGACAGGGCCATGAAAGTAGGGTACAGGAGTGGGGATCAAAGATGCCTGTCAACTCACCCACCCAGAAACTCATCCAGACGATGCGGGATGAGGTGAACACCTGCTTCTCTGAGATCATCCACGAGGTCAAACAGCTGCAGATAAAGGTCTTGGATTTCGTGGAGAAAGAGGAGGCAACTGCCCTGGGGAAGCTGGGCAGCTCCATCCAGCAGAGCCACAACCGGCTTCTGAAGCTAGAGGGGGACAGTGTCTGGCTCCACACCCTGCTCACCAACAGAAGTGATGAGCAATTCCTGCAGGCAAGACCCCACCCTGGCTCCGGCCCTGCCGCCTCTCCATGCTCCCTCCACCCTCAAACACACCGGATCTGCCCAGACCTCAGAAAAAGTGAGCAGCGTGTGGGGCTGCATCGCTTTGTCCATTCCCCTGCCTTGGGGAGCCCCAGGTCACCATCCTGAGCATACACCAACACTCTCGGCTTCTTGCTTCTCCACACAGCTCAGCCTTATCCTTCCTTTCCTGCCTTGAATTCCACGGAACGGTGGGTATGCCTTAGGATTCTGGGTATCTTAAGTTTTTCCAGTGCCAGATTGAGACTCGGAAAATCCATTGATCAAAATCCCTTTTCCTCCCCAGCCCTGGCCGCATGGTCTGGTGGTGCTGCTGCAAGAATGTAGTGGGTTGGTGTACCGAGGCATGCGGCTGGCCAGAAGGTGGCAGCAGTCTTCTCAGTGGGTGGGACTCAAGTCCTGCTCATAGACCTACCTTTCTTTCTTTCTTTCTTTCTTTCTTTCTTTCTTTCTTTATTTATTTATTTATTTATTTATTAGCTGTCAATAACCTTTATCTTTTTCTTTAATTTATATGCAGTGCTGAGGATCAAACCCAGTGCCTCATACATGCTAGGCAAGCATTCCACCCCTGAGCCACAACCCCAGCCTAGACCCCCTTTCTTAAAGTGCTACCACATACCTGGGCAGATTTCTAGGAATACTGTTCACCTTGCCCCCCACTCCCCCGTCCCCAAACAACAGGACACATTTAGCAGTGGTTTTCAATAAACAAGTCAAGGTTTAAAGGGAATCCTCCAATTGTTCCCTCAGTGCCCTAAACCAGAGTTCTGGTCTTTGGCAGAATCCTAACCTCAGATGTCCAGATAACTAGGAAGAGGGGAAAGAGGTGTCCGGGTGTGAAAACAGACAACTCCTCCATCTGCCTGTGGTCCTGGGGGTCATTGGGCCCCTGCTGTGAGTGAGAGCCCCTGGCATCTGCCTGGTCCCTGGCTGACAGTGTTAACACCTGCCCCTCCCTGCATGGCAGGAGTTCCCCAAATTGAAGCATATCCCAGTCTCCTCGGAACCCCTGATGGGCACCAACTGTGAGGAGACACAGAGCTTCCTCCAGCTGCCAGAGACCCTGGCTGAGCTCAGGACCCAGCTGGTGGACATGGGTCTCCGCTTCGTCAACCAGCTCCTGATGAAGGGTCAGTCTCTGGTGACCTGGGGCCTGCATTCCGGGGGGTGGGACCGCCCTGCAGGGCAGTGGTTATGGAGCTTTCCTGCCCGAGTGCACCTTCCCCAGGTGACACAGTCTCCTGGAGCCCATGCCTCTTTCCAGGAGGATGGGCTATAAGAGGGTCCTCAGCAAAGCTCCTCCATCTCCCCAGGCATTAGGATGAACTCCTACGAGGTGCTGCCACTAACCATGGACAGGAAAACACTCCTCCAATGTGAGTCCTTGGAACCGGGCCATGCCTGAGGGAGAGAGGAGCAGGGTCCCTGATGCCTCAACTACCCAGTCCTACTTGCATTCAGGCCAGGCCCTCCAGGGTGTGGCCTGACCTCTCACTCCACACTGGAGATCTCAAAAGGACTTGTCCCAGGCCCTAGGTCCTGGTAGGAAGGGGAGGAGACCCAGTCCCATCCTGCCTCAGAACCAGCTCTGGTGTGGCTTCCTGGACCCTGTGTGGCAGGACATCTGCCTCCAGCTGGGGCTTAAGCTGAGCCAGAGTGAATAGGCTCTGTCCACGTCTTCCTCAGACACAAGCTCCCCATTCATTTGCTGTTCCTGTAGCCCCTCACCCACGTTGGCCTGGGGCCAAATCCCAAAGGCTTCTCTGAGATGCTTAAAGGTTGTATTGTCTTTGCTGTCCCCCTCTGGGTCACTCTCCCTCAGTCTTTAGTTAGCTTTGTTTCCTAAACAAATAAAGAGGGAGATTACATGGGGATACAGTGGGAGAAGCAGGGGGACTCCTGGCTCCGGCCCCTCCCAGAAAGTGGAACACTGGAGAGTGACCAGGTCATCCTTCCTGGTGGCCAGGCCATAGTTGGGGGGTTAAGGGACTGGATGGAGGGGCCACTCCTGGGAGCCATGGAATTTAGCACCCTTCTTCCCCCAGAGACCTCCACCCCTCTTCCCCGAGGGCGCTGACCCAGGCTCCACTCCCCCCACCGCCAGGTTACTGCAACCTGAACTTCGACCCCTCCACCGCCAGCGAGGAGCTGTTCCTGTTCAAGGAGACCCACTCGGTGCTGAACCTGGGCATCCTCCTGGAGCCCTCGGCCACGGGCGGCCCGGTCCCGGGCTTCAAGCAGTGGCCGCAGGTGCTGTGCTCCCGCGGCCTGTCCGAGGGCCGCTACTACTGGGAGGCGGAGGTGTCCAACTCGTGGATGTGCCTGGGCGTCACCTACCGCCGCAGCCCGCAGCTCAACGGCGTCCCGCGCCGCAACATCGTCTACCTGCTGGGCCGCAACCCCTACTCGTGGTGCCTCGAGTGGGACTCGCTCAAGTTCTCCGTGTGGCACAACAACACGCAGACGGTGCTGCACGGCGCCTACCACCGCACGCTGGGCGTGGCGCTCGACTGCGCCGCCGGCTGCCTCTCCTTCTACGGCGTGGCGGGCGGCGTGAGCCTGCTCTACCGCTTCCTCGCCACCTTCCTCGAGCCGCTCTTCCCCGCGGTCATGGTCAGCAGCGGCGCCTCGGTCACGCTCAAGCAGCGCCCCGACGCGTAGGCGGCACCCGGCCGGCTCAGGGTGACGGCCAATAAAGCTGGACTCTGAGCGCTGGCTGGGCAGAGCCGCAAAGGGAGGGTGGCCGGCCCCAAGTGGTCCCCTGCGTCCAGGGTGGAGGGTGGGTGACCTGCCTGCCTCCCGCTGCAGCGCCGGCCAGGCAGTCCCAGGAACTGCAAATGGGCAATGGCCACAAGAACCAGGCTGGAGTTCCCCTGGGGATGGGGACAAGTCCTGGAGCCTTGGAAGAGGACACTTCTGCGCTCGGTGCTGGGCCCCACACTCATCTCCCACCCCAGCCGAGGCTCCTGCCTTGGTTCTCAGGCTGATCCTGGTCACTCAGCACTGGGGCCTGTCCCCGAATGCCTTGCTGCCTGAGACTGGGCCACCTGGCTTCTCTCTGGCTTCACCTTCCTGGGTGGCCAAAGGTAGAAGTGTCAAGGGACAGAGTTGGGAAGCGGGGGGGTGGTCTGAGCCCTGGCTTAGCTGGGAGCTAGGAGGTTAAGATGGAGGAGCCCAGGACTATCTTTCTCGGATTCAAAACTGATAGGCTGAAGACCAAGGGTCAAGCAGAGGCCCAGGCTGCTGACCCCATAGCCCATCACAGGGCTTCTCTGACCGCTGGTGTCTTCAAGCCTGGAGATGCCATGCTGGGTGGGTAAACTTAGACCATCCTCCACCCGCCCCTAAGGCTCCTAAGAGAAGCTCCCTGCCCCCTAAGCCATGAGCCCACTTGGCTAGGGCTCCAACAGCATGGGGGCCTCTGCCGCGGGACCTGCCCAATGGGATGGATGGAAGTCTAAGGACAGGCTGGACCCAGGACAGTTCTCTGCCTCCGGACCCTGGCAGGGCCAAGACTGGGGTCTCAGCCCCCCTGGGGAAGCTGAGGATTCTGTCCAGCAGGAAACCACCTTGGTATTTCCAGCTTCAACCAGCCCCGTTCCTGTAGGTTCCACAGTGAGGGCTCTCTCAGTTGAGTTAATGTTTGACTCCCAAAAGGAAACCCTACAAGTCACGGGGAGAAAATCCCCCAGGGCAAAGCAGTAGGCACCCAGGTTAGATGGCACCCCACAAGGTGTTCCGGAATTCCACCCGGGTTCGCTGGCTTCTAAGGAATAAGTGACCCAGTTTTCCCCTTGAGGCACTTATTTTGGAGCAGGTAGAGCAGGAAGAGAACGGGGACATAGGGTGTGCTCTGAAGGTCTCTTGGAGGTGCAGTCCCTTTGGCTCCTCTGAGCAAGCCCTAGCTGTGACCTCATGGTGACCTTTCTCCCTGGAGTCTTCTTCACTAAGCTCCAGCTCTAGTGACTGGGCACAACACCTTTATTTCATGTACTTTTATGTGGTGCTGAGGATCCAACCCTGTGCCTCACATGTGCTAGGCAAGTGCTCTACCTCTGAGCTACAGCCCCAGCCCCTCTAGTGACTTATTCTCCAGAGGCTGCTGTCCCTGCATATAGCAAGTAGTGAGATGAAAGCCTTTCCCCTTATTAAAGAGATTTTGTGTGTGCCCCCATAACACACCCCACCTTCCTTCTTCCTGACTCAAAGGGGAAACCAGAGGAGGGATGCCCAGGAGGCTAATGAACACAGTAGGGCCACACGGATCTCCCAGTCCTCCCCCAACAGGGGGCTGCAAAGGAGGGCCCCTTCTCCTCTGGGCTGCAAGGATTCAGCAGGGTGCTGTGTAA